ATATATATATATATATATATATATATATATATATATTATATATATATACATAACTTCCTTTAGTAATACTAGTTAGGTTTTTTTCTTTGTTTAGATTAGTGTTTCTCAACCCTGGTCCTCACCGACCCACTGCTCTGCATGTTTTAGATGTGCCTCTATTCCAGAACAGCTGATTCAAATTATTGCATGACCATCAAGTACTGCAGAAACCTGTTAATCACCCAGAGATACAATTCAGGTGTGTGGCAGAAGGGAAGCACCTAAAACATGCAGGACACGGGGGCGGTGAGGACCAGGGTTGAGAAACACTGGTTTAGATCTTCACGTTACCTTTGTTATCCCTTGTCTCCTGTTTCATTGTGTTTTGGATTTCCTTGTTTTCCCTGGATTTTGGATTTAGTTAGTTTAGTTCATTAAAAATAACATCTTCATAAAGTACGTCCACTGCCTGCTGCGTTTGTGTCCACCGCCACACCACATCATGACACAAACCAGATGAAAAAGCCCATCTTTAAACATTTAATGTGTAATTAAACAATAAAGATGACAAGTAAATTTTATGAAACATATTTGTTGTATTTAACATATTTCAGGTAAGTAAACATGTAATGAAATGGATCCAGTCCTAGAATTTTATGTAATTGAACATTACAGGTTACAAATGTTCTTATCATGTGAGGTAATATATTTTATGAACTTTTTAAAAAATCTATTTTTCAAATATAAATTTGATTAAAAAATAAAAAAGGGGTCAAATGGAATAAAAATATGCCTCATCTATATAGTTTAGCAAAATAATTTCACAGATTTTGAGTTAATAGGTCACATGACCTAGAAGCTATTGAAGAAAATACTAAAAGCTAAAAATATATATAAAGAAGTGTTCAAATGTAATGAAGATGAATGTGCCTCATTTATACAGTCTAGTAGAACGATTTCACACAGATTTTGAGTTCATGGGGCACACGATTTGGAAGCTATTGAAGAAAACATTTAATATTATTTAAAATATTAAATATGACTTAAACATTTTTTAGAGGATAGTGTGCCTCGTTTAATAGTATGAATTACCACTTTTTTGTATTAGTTGGTCACAAGACAAAGCATTTATTTATAGGAGTGTTTGGAAATTGACGGTCCCTATGTGAACCTCCAAGCGCTTGAGGTGGCATCGGTAGAGAACAGCTGGCCGAAATTAGCGTTCATAAATCGGATCAACCTTGAGCTGAACGTCCCTTACTCCGCGGAGGGCGAATATCCTTCGCTGCGGTCGGTAATACAATGAAAACACCGGTGTTCTGACTAGTTTGTTTTGGTCTGTGGGCTGCAAACATGGCGCCGAGCGACGTAAACGTCATACGCTGTGACGTCAGCTCCAAAGCTCTATAGACGGTACAGTAGAGGCTGGAGTTACATTATGCATCCACTAGATGGAGCTGCACTAAAGTGAATATCAACAAAACAGTCCGACTCCGGTCGGTGAGGAGAGCCTTCCGCGACTGGGCCGGGGCGTGAGCGGACGATGGTCAACTTTCTCCATTCGCGCACAGCATGGTCGTGGAGAACGTGGTGCTAAATGACCTGCAGACAACCAGATTCTAGACGGTTGGAAGGTAGATAGGTCAGTCAAACTTTATTAATAGATTACAAACCAGCGTTCTGACAACTATCCCAGCATGCACCGCGCGCTTCTTCTTCTACGGGTGGAAAATGAAGTCAGCGGCTGCTTACCGTAGTTGTTAGACCTGTTGTGGCTCAATATTGGTCCATATATAAGTCGCACCGGATTATAAGGCGCACTGTCGGCTTTTGAGGAAATTGAAAGTTTTTAGGTGCAAATACGGTACTTAATGACAACAAAGTCACCTGTGACAGGTGACTCTACATAGTCAAATGACACCCGATGCCCAATCCCTTTTGTTCTTCTGGCGTGCAGGTGTGTTGAGTACAAGTAAGTTTTGTTTTTCTTTTCTACAGCAGTGGTTTACTGTTCGCTTTAATTTGCCTCATTGCTTGTTGTGGCTCTTTTTACTCACCGGTGGAGTTTCTGCTTGCGCTCTGACGTTGCTTATCTGACTCACCTGTAGCGTTTCTACTCGCGCTGAATTTGTCTTTAGTTTGTTTAATCTGTCTCACAAGCAGTGGAGAAAGTACTCAAAAATGTACTTAAGTAAAAGTACAAATACACAGACAAAAATGTACTCAAGTAAAAGTAAAAGTACCACATTAACATTTTACTTAAGTAAAAGTAAAAAAAGTACTGGCTTTTAAAAATACTTAAGTATTAAAAATAAAAGTACTTGCTGAATGCATTACCTAATCGCTAATATCATTAAGATTGTATTTAATCAATCGTATTTAATTTTAATACATCAGAAATGTGCCATTTTAATTAACAATGCCACAGATAAAGCATGTTTTTATTGTGTTTTCTCTCTGTAACATAGTTTAGACTATGTGATTCTATGCATCATGATTTCAGGGATGGAAACATCTTGTCTCCTGTCCTAACATAGCATGAACTTCACTTTTTTTTCTTTTTAGTGGCATTTATTTTGAAAGAAATCCAACTGAAAGGGTGGGCAGGGGAGGACATGGAACCAAGGAGCCACGTAGCAGAGTTGTAGTCTAGACCACCGAACCCGAGACCAAGTCAAGACCGAGACCAGACCGCGCTACGTGACACAATAAAATTAATTGCACTTATCAAAATTGCTTCTCAAATTGATCTGAAAGATCCACATTCCCATAAAAACACCTAGATATTAAATACTTAGAGCTGAAATACATTTAAGCAGTATCAATTCAAACTCTTCTTCATTCTGTTTTGCTTTCATCTCTGTGCCACAATTCGCAGAGGTCTCCTGCCATCCCTAAAAAAATAATGCCCTGGGTGGTTGCCCATATTGCCAATGTCAGAAACCACAACTGTCTGCACCACTAAACATAGTAATTAAGGCAATGTATTAACCGTAAACAACGCTCAACTATGAACACTGACCAAGACGCAATAAGCAAGAAGTAACCAAGCAGAAGGAGGTGACTGTTCTCATCCTCCCTCCTGCTGCAACGTCTGACAGGAGACGAAAACAAAGAGCAAGGAGCATGCTCTGCGTTCTTATGTTCCTGTTTTATTTATTTGCCAATTAAATATATATATATATATATATATATATATATATATATATATAT